GATTTATTATTATTTTTGCTTTATAATTATTATTGTTATTATTTTTCTCCTCTCTCCCCACGAAGTGGCTGGTGGCACAGGCACAACCTCAGTGTATAGCAACTTAATTACAGGTTGCTAATGAGCAACTGCAGAGCGAGAGGCTCCTTTAGCAGCCTGGCCTGGTGCTTTATCGTGTGTTTGCAGGAGTCGTGTAATTTTTTGTCATCATATATGGTAATATATTCACTGCAGCATGACATGGGATGAGGTTCAATGAATAATGTAAAACCCTGAATAACACTGAATCCATATGAGATGTGCTTTTCCCCCCAGCGTTGGTTTAAAAAGGGAAATATTGATTCTGGTGGGGTTCAGCGGTTCAGAGCTCTCGCAGAACTCACGTTCCGCTGATCGATGCCCACCCTGTCCCCTCCACGGCCACAAATGTCCTGCTGTGGCTGCCATCCCTCCCCTCGTTAGTGCTGACAAAGCTGGGAAGGGTGGGAAAGGGTCTGTGACATTTGCCACTGGATCCAGATGTGGCAGTAGCACAGCAGGTTCTGTTGGGGTTCAGGTACCAGGTGGAGCAACCCTCTCCATAACACATCATCCCCCCCCCCCTCCCCCAGTTCCTGTCTTTGAATGCTAATTAGGATGGATAATTTCTATTTGTTTTCCTTTTTAAACAAATTCCTTCTTTTCTGATCTGTATCATTTATATTTGTGGGCCATTATCTCAGTCTCATTACAGCCTTTTAGCATTTGAATGAAGATATTGTACAGAACCCAGAAGTTAGGCATAAAATGTCTGTGCTGATAACTATAATTGTCATGATAAAATTAAAAAGACAATAGAAATAACTGTGATGAGCTCAGGAAGTTGTACCAAGTGAGATTGGAACCAGCATGATGATGTTTGCCCCTTTTTTTGACTCTTTACACAGTAAACAGCTTTTGCAGGGCTATTTTGAAGAAGGGGGAAGTCGCTGAGTACGGCCTGGGTAGGGGCCGTAATAAAAAATTCGGATTTTTCTCTCTGTCGAGGTTTTAATTAATCACTACAAAAACTCTGGGCGATGCACGTGCGATTTTCAGGAGCTTAAAATACTCCGGCAGCGCCGGAGGAGGAGGAGGAGGTGCTAAACGGTGCCAAGTTCCTGAATGAAAATTACTCTCCCCGCCTCTGGTTCTGGAGCCAGATCGACGTTAATTAATCCTCGCCTCACACGTTAACGTTCTCCAACCTCGCCACCGTCGGGTTTTTGACTCGGCAAAAAGCAGATGGAGGTTCCCGAAGCGCCTCCGAAATTCCCAAGCCGAGCGCTCTCCTCGGTGACGACGCCAATTTGCCATGAGTGAAATGTTTGATAAAAATCTGTCACTTTTTTTTGAGAGGAGTTTTCCTTGAGAGGAAAACCAGGGGGAAAAAAGAAATCAGCTCTGTTTCGAAACATCTCCTCGCTCCGTTATCTTTGTTTTGCGAGAGACGGGGGTGGAGAAGGGGGTTGGAGAAGGGGGTTTCCGTGGGCATGGGGGAGAGGTGTTAGTAAGTTTTCCTGGAATTAGGTGGCATTTTGCTGCAGACCTCATATGAGGTCTCCAGATTTTTATGTTTCTGGTGGGTTTTATGGACAGCTTGTTCTCCAGGTCCTGGCTCTGCAAGGACCAGCTCCAATCCGAAGGTACGTGGATGCATCACTGACCTTCTGCAGAGATTCTTCTGGCAGGGCTGAGGTTATTCAGCAGTCACTGCAGGTGTTGGTGCCTCCAGGGCAGTGATGTACAGCTCATCCATGTGCTCAAGCTGCATTTAATCAGCCACCAACTACTATTATGTGTTGCAGGGAGATCGGTTCCCTTTGGAGTCACGATGCTGAAGCTGAAGTGATTTTTCATAGAATCACAGAATCATTCAGATTGGAAAAGCCCTCTAAGCTTGTTGGGTCCAACCATTCCCCCAGCACTGCCAAGGCCACCACTAAACCATGTCCCAAGTGTCACATCTGCAGGTCTGTTAAATCCCTCCAGGGGGGACAGTGATTCCACCACTGCCCCGGGCAGCCTGTGCCAGGGCTTGACAACTTTTTGACCCCAAATTGACTCTCTGTTACCAGTCTCTGGTGGGCCTGGCCCTTGGGGGTGATGGTTGGGATTTTCAGCCTGATCTTGAAGGATTTGGGACATTTTTTGGCCGTGACTGTCTGTAGCTGACTTGCTTCAGAGCCATAACCTCCAGAGCGGGACCTCCAGGAAGCTGGAGATGGGACACGTGATACAGGTTTGGCCTCCAGTGGAGGCTGAACAATTTGAATCAGCCTGAAGAGACCTTCTGATCCAGGCCTGGGTGGGAAGGGTCCCTCCTGGCCCTGCAGAAGGGTCTTGGCTAGGGAGGGTTGAAGGAGGTTGGCCAGTTTGGAATAAAGGGCCAGATCCCCTGCACCGACACTGGGACCTGTCCCTTTCCCTGCACTGGTGGCAGCCAGGATCCACAGAAAGTGACTCCAGGGACAGAAATACCTCCCCAGCCATGCCTTCCTCCTGGATAAGGGCCAGAGACCACTGCCAGATACAGAGTTATGGCTTGATCCAGAGCAAGGAGAGGAGACCCAGACCCCAACTCCAGTTTAACACAGAGAAACACACACTCAGTGCCCAGAGCCCAGCAGCACCACACAAACCTGGCTGAGGCTTGTGCCATCTTTTACTTAACCAGCACCATTTTTCCGTGTGCCTTCCAAAGAGATTGTTAATCGCCTGGGAATCCCTGCGGGTGGCATTGGTGGGTCAAAGAGCAGCAGCTCTGCTCTGTCTGGCTGCACTGACGGGTGCTGTGGGTGTGGATGACGCTGCTGGGCCACCATTAGTCAGCAGAAGTCAGGTAGAGCCCAGCCCAGCGTTCCCACTCACTCAGCGGGCTCCTCTGCCAGGGAGGAGGCTCCGAGGAGCTGCTCCTGGAGAGCCTGGGGCTTGTGCAATGCCCGTGACGTGGAGAACCTCCTCCCTCTGCTTTGGTTCTCGGCACTGCGACTCAGCACCTTCCTGTGCCCTGGCACATCACACCAGAGTCCACGGGTACCTTTGCACTGGGAAGCAAGGATTTGCACATACAGAGCAGGATTAAACCCGCAGGTGCTCCCAGAGCCAGGTGATTCCTTGCTCCCGTGGGGTGGCTCCGGCCGTGGCAGCGTTCCCGCTGCATCCTGAGCTGACTCGGCAATGGGCTCCCTCCGACTGGATCCCCGGGGAGGGGAGTTGTGCAAACAGGGAGCGATGGGAGGTGATGCAGATCCTTCCTGGGGTTCCAGGAGCCAAGGTGGGTGATGGCAGGGGCTGGGGCGATGGGGGCAGCGGTGCTGGGGGCAGTGGCCTGCCGTGCCCCGGGCTGCATGGCACTGCCAGCGTGTTGCAGTGAGAACCAGGGCTTGTTGCACAACAAAACCGACTCCCTTCCCCTTCCAAAGCTGCTGGCGAGGAGGCAGCAGGATAGGGAGGGGGCAATGCCCGGCAGCACAGCGTGGGGCCCAGAGGGTCACAGAGTGGGTGATGACCTGGTTTATTGACCTGGGTGTATGAGGTGGCTGTGGCTGCATCCCTTCCTAGCTGGGGCAGCTCACTCCTCCCCTGGCTATAGTGTCACCCACTTCCCAAAATCGTGGACATGGGGCGTGCCTCAGTTTCCCCATGCCTGAGATGATGCTGCTGTAGGGCGGGGGAGGTGTGTTCAGGGTGGCTGGCAGAGCCTTTGCGTGCCATGCGCTGTTGTAAAATGGAATATTGATGATTTCTTTTGTCTTGGACTGTGTTTTCTGATCTTTGTGCAAGTGTTACCTTCCTGGGCACAGTGAGAGGTGTGTGCCAGCAGCGTGCTGGGCCTGCCTGTAAACCATCCCTGGGCTGTCTGGGCAGTGTTCATCTAGAGAGAATAACAGCAAAGAGACAGGGACAGATTTATAAACCCAAAGTGCTTCTGCCCAGTTCTTACATCTTTGGTGTGAATAACTTCAAAAAAGTGGGTCTGATGTGGAGGGCTTGGAAACAGGCAGTGCAGGCAGCAGGGTGAAGGCAAGTAACAGTGCAGCATGGACTGTAGAGAGCAAAAATATTTGTTTTAGGAAAAATTTGTTCACTGAATGAGTGGATATTGGAAGAGTCTCCCTGGGGAAGTGGTGGAGTCACCATCCCTGGATGGAAAGCGAGAGGATGTGGCACTTTGGGATATGGTGTAATTGGCATGGTGGTATTTGGTTGAAGGTTGGACTTGATCTTGGAAGTCTTTTCCAACCGTAATGATTCTCTGAAAAAGCCACACGAGTCTGCTGGGTTTCACAGAGCTTGGTTGTTGCGGTGTATTTTTATTACAGAAAGCAGGTGGTCACTGCTTTCTCGACGGGATTTTCTGTGTCCCCCATCCCACGTGGATAAAATAACATTAATAACAACCGCACCGTGGGCAAGAACATCGCCTGTGTTTGCCTTGCAAGGACGAGCCGGCCCGGGTTGTGCGCTGGCACCGGGGAGTGTCACCCCCCTCCTGCCTCAGTTCCCCCCCCCGTGCTGGCGGCGCTGGCCGAGTATCGCGACCATCGGTGGCGATGGTGCCGCTGGGACGCGGCGGGCGCTCCGCTCGGTGGGTGGCAGCGGCGGGGAGCGATGGATGATGATTCCAGCCGGGAATCATTTCCGCCGCCGGCCGGCCGCGGGTTCCTGCGCGGCGCGGGGCTCCCGGAGAGCCCTCGGCGGCCGCTGCCGCGGGGCCCCGTCCCGCACACCTCGGGCCGTGCGGGGGCAAAGCCACTCCTCCCGTGCCGTGACATCAAGCCCTGCAAGAGCGACCGGCGAAGGGTCAAATTCCCGGCGCAGGTAGCGCTTTGGCTGCACTTCCGCGCCGCGTCGTGCCGGGGAGGACCCACCCCGCGCGGGGACCCCCGTCCGCGGGGACCCCCCCGAGCCCGGGGACCCCCGCCATGAGGTCGGAGCAGGAGGAGAACAAGCCGGGGAGCTGCCGCTGCGAGCAGGGCTCCGCTCCGCGCCCGGCCCATTGTCCCCGCGGGCGGCGAGGGGCGGCCGGCGACGATGCTCAGGGCAGGGCGCTGTGCCCCTGCTTAGCCCACGCAGGTAAGGGGGTCCCCCGAGGAGGGGAGGGGGTCCCCCGGCGTGGGGGAGGACACAGCCCGGCGTGCACGGCTTCCCCTCGCTCGCTTTGTGCTTGGAGCTCGCTTCCTCCTGGGAGAAACAAAACAACGCCTGGGAGCTGCCCGGGGCCGCGGGGAGGTGGCGGGGGGGTGGCCGTGCTGTCCCCACGCCCCATGGCGAGAGAGGGGCAGGGGCGAGGGGCTTCGTGCCCCCGTGGCCGTGGGGAGGGTCGGGGCGGGCGGGTCCCGGTGCCCCGTTGTCCATTTTGTGTCGCGGAGAAGTTGGAGCGAGCCGGGAGCTGGCGGAGGGCTCCCCGCCGGCTGCGGGGGCTGCCGCGGGGGTCTTTAGCCCACCGGCCGGTGGTGGCGTATGGTGTGTGCTTCTGGAAGCCTTTCACAACCCCCCCCGGCCTGCCCCCCCCCCCCGGTGCCCCCCGACCCCCGCTGCCCCCCCCCCCCCCACCCCTCCTGCCGGCACAGGGGTTTATATCAGGTTTTATTACATCCCACCAGCATGTGGCCAGGGCAGACAAGAGAGTAAGACTCTGGGTGGTGGAAATAATCATTATTTTTGGAAGTGGGGAGTACCAGGAAACTGGGGGTAACTTGGCGAGCAGGTGGTCTCTGCATGTCCTACCCCATCGGTGCGAGCACTGGTTGATGGTGCGAGGTCGGGGCTCATGACCAGGGGTCCTCTCCCGGAGCTGTGACCGTGTGAAAGCGCCAAGGCCAAGCTGGTGTCTAACTCAGGAAGTGCTCCGAAACGGTGTTTGCAAGGATTTGCTCTCACTGGGTGGAAGCTTTAACCCAAAATCACTAAGGACTGTCTGTACCCGTGTCCAGGTGTGACAGCTCGCTCGCTTGCAGCAGCAGGGGGTGGTCTTTAAAAGCTTTGCTTTTAAAGCTTCTTTAAAAGTAAAAGATGGATATGTGGAGCCAAAATCCACGTTTTTAGCCCAAGAAGCTCTGCTGAGCACCCTGGTGCCCATCCAGAAGGGAGCAATGGTGGCCAAGAGCTCCTCTGAAGTCATAGGGGGCACCTCAGTGCTGCAGGAGATGTTCCAGGGGATGTGCTGGGGATGCACAGCAGCAGGACTGCACTGACGTGGTGATGGACACATTTCAGGCCCTTGTGCTTATCCCCTTCTCTTTTTAACCTTTATTTGGGGGGAATTGGGTGCTTACTGTAATTCCTGACCACCCATGGGAGAAGGAGGCATTGCCTCACTTGGACAAGCCCCATCAGTCATTCCAACCCCTTCCAAATCTGCAAGCAGGCAGCAATGAAATTAATGTAATTTAAACATTTCCCAGACTAATTGATGAAAACTACCATTCCCGCCGAAATAATTGGCTGTTAATTATATTTCAGTTGATAGCATTAAACTTGTATGACACTGCTGGATTCTGCATCCTTTATGCTTCAACCACTGATTGGTGTCAACAGACAACGCAAATCAGATTTTTTGGGGTTTTTGTAATTGTGGTGAACACCTCCAGACAGCATTTGGGGCTGAAGTTTCCACTCCTGCTCCTGCAAATCCCATCTTGGCCTCCTCTGGGCAGCAGATCCACTCTCCGTGCAGCAGCAAAGCTTTTTGCTGGCCTTGGAACAGGCATCACTTTAAAGACATCCATTTAAAAGCCTTTTTTTCCCCCCGTGTAACTCAGCTGACACGATTGCTGTACACAGAGGGGACGTATGAAAGATGGATGCAGTACAAACGACAAGGCTCGTGTTGGTAAATTACTGTCTCAGGTGAAAGCTGCATTTTGTGCCGCTTTTGTGAGTTTACCAGTGAGATGGTTTTTGCTTTGCTGGGCACGAGTCAAGGGGGTGATTTTATCCAGGATGTCAGCAGGATAAATACACATCTACATACACCTCTGTCCTGAAACGGGAAATGGAAGGGTTGTAAAGAACATTATTAGAAGAAAATAAGGATTCGAGACCTAGAGATGAGTTGAGTTTGTATTTTAGAGAGCATCTCTGATTGTTAAGTAGCTCCCCAGCTTGGGACCCCCCTCTTGCAAAAGTGCAGAAAGCTGGAAAGAGACTTCTGGCAAGGACGTGAAGTGACAAGGGGGGAATGGCTTCCCACTGAGAGAGGGAAGGGTTAGATGGGATATTGGGAAGAAATTCCTCCCTGTGAGGGTGGTGAGGCCCTGGCACAGGTTGCCCAGAGAAGCTGTGGCTGCTCCATCCCTGGAAGTGTCCAAAGCCAGGTTGGATGGGGCTTGGAGCAACTTGGGCCAGTGGAAGGTGTCCCTGCCCATGGCAGGGGGTAGAACTGGATGGTCTTTAAGGTCCCTTCCAACCCAAACCATTCTGGGATTCTGTGACATTGGTAGCAGCCCTGGGAGGAAGTTAGAAAGAGGAACTTTCCTTTCAAGCCTTGGCTGCATGGATTGTACTTTGCAATTTTATATATATATAAAGATATATATATTCAAAACTGATTTGGCTTTGCCATATAAATAATAATATATATATATCAAATATAACTATATATTGCAAAGCATAATCCATTTTGTACAGATATGTATATCTCAAATTATATCTATAAAAAAGCAAGGATTTAGGATATATGGCTGATCCCAGGTTCAATAATTCGTGTTCTCCATAGACTTTGGCTTGCAGCTGGTGCCATGGGGAACATGGTGCCTCATGCTCCTCTCCAGATTGCATTTACAGCTTCCCACAGATCTTGGATTCTAATCCTTCAGCAGTTTCTACTGGGAGTGGGAGCTGAGCATGAAGTTGGGGATGAAATTCCCTTGTTGCCTGCTTTGGAGGATGGATGCTTTGGGGTTTCTTCACTATTTTCTAACTGGGAGCAGAGGGGAATGGTGCAGTTCTAGCAGACTGCACTGTCTAGTGTGTTATAGCAAGTTTTGGGGCCCAAGGACTCCTCTGGGAGTCTCTGCTGCAGAATTCCCCCCTGGACTGCCTGTTCTTGGTCTTGTTTCCCCTCTCCCTTCCCAACAGGGTCCGTGCCGTGTGGGGATTTTCTTGGTTCCCACCAAAATGCTGCAATTTCCAGGAATCCATTGGGATCGGTGCAAGCTGCCCTGCCCCATCCTCCTAGGCTGGTTAATTTTTTCCTGGGAATACCCCTCTGTGTCTCCTGGGTGAAGTGGCATGTAAGGAAAGGTGGAAATGAGTTACCAGTGTGTGGAAAAAAATGAGCAATTTGTTGCAGCCAGGGGCATTTTATGGGACTTTCTGTGGCCGGGGAAGGCACAGGGTGAGTGTTACACAGTAAATATTCCACCCTGTAGGAGCCCTTCACATCCTCTCCGGGTTCCCAGAGGCTGGAGGGGACATTTCTGCCATCCCTGGGGAAGATCCTGTTGGCCTTGGCCGCCTCTCATCCTTGCTGTTTTGCATGGATTTCAAGAAAGCACTTTGGGCTGCACCAAACCCCCCGGCCCGGGGCTCGACTGTTCCTCGTTAGTGACTTTATTGCTGAATAATTTACAGAATGGGGCCTTGCCAGTTTTCATTCGGGAAGCATTTCAAGTATGTGAACCAGATTTTATGCCTTCCTGGCGCAGCTGCCGGGGAGGAGCCGCCTCTCCCTGTCCTGCCGCCGGCGTCACCTCCCGGCCTCGCTCCGCCAGCGGTGCCGGAAGGGAAGCGGGCAGCACACGTGCAGAGGGACCCAGGGAAAAATAAGGGGGAAAAAACCCAATATTCCATGCCCAGTTGGTGTCCCCTGGGCTGGCTGCTACACGGGGACACTGGGGAGAGGACCCAGTTGTGGTAGCTTGGAGAGGGGTGCGTGGTTTTAATTTTTTGTTTAATGTTTCTTGTGACTGTGGAGTGTGTGTTGAGGTGGGTGTTTTCTTCTCCCCGTGTCCATGGGCACGATGCAAACCTGAGAGGATGTGGGTGTCCCATCCAAGCCCATCCTGTTGGACAGGGCTTGGAGCAACCTGATCTAGTGGAAGGTGTCCCTGCCCATGGCAGGAGGGTTGGACCTGCTTGTCTTTAAGGTCCCTTCCAACCCAAACCATTCTGTGATTCTGTGAAATCAGTAAGCTACTTTGGGATAAGTAAGGGCTTTTCTCTGCTTGTTTTTTAAAGGGGAAGGAAAGCAAACCAAACTCGGCTGGAGGATTGCAGAAGTGCCTGCACAGCCCCAAAGTGTTTTACAGAATGAGGGCGATGGGTGCAATGTAGAAATGGCATTATTATTACATTAAACAGTGGATGTGGCTGTAGGAAAAGATGTGTCTGGAGCTTTCCTCCAGTGCCTGTTGTGGAGGGAATCCAGGCTGGGATCTGCTGGGATGCTCCTGCAGTGCAGCTGCTCGGAGGAGTGAGCAGTCACTGGGTGTAAATCTGCAAAATTCAGGGTTCAGGTCTGCATGTGGAAGTGTCGTCTTCCCTTCTCCTGTCTCACAGTGGGTTTGTTGAGTTTTGTTGAGTGTACCCTGAGCACGTGGGTGGCAGAGCTGAGGTGTGTGGGACTTAGCAGAGCTCAGGAGGCTCTGCTGGATCCCAGCCATGAGAGCACCCTGTCAGCGAGTGCTTTGTACGGGAAAGTGCTCCTTTGTTTATTATTCTTACATTAACATTTATTTTTAATTTTTTAATGCAAAAGCAGCACCCAGTGGAGACTTCCCCCTCCCTCCCGGCGCCTTCCCGTGTCATCCCTCGCCCTCCTTCCTTGTTCCCAGAATAACTGCAGGGTTTGGGCTTTGTGCAGAGCAGTTTTGCCGGCGGGGAGGGGTCACCCCGGCGGCGTTTCCCTGGGGTTCGAGTTTCCAGCGGGGGCTGTGCCGGGAGCCGTCACTCACTTCCTCGCATTGTGTCTCCTCTTCCTCCAGCGCTGCTGCGGGAGGAGGTGGCCCAGCTGCAGGAGGAGGTCCACCTGCTCCGGCAAATGAAGGAAATGCTGACCAAGGACCTGGAGGAGACGCATGGCAGCAAGTCCCCGGAGGTGCTCTCGGCCACCGAGCTGAAGGTGCAGCTGGCGCAGAAGGAGCAGGAGCTGGCACGTGCCAAGGAGGCTCTGCAGGGTAAGGCTGCGCCTCCTTCTTCTCCTGCACCTCTCCCCAGCACCCTAAACCTTCAAGGAGTTGTTTAATGAGGGAAGGGAAAGCCATCCTTTTCATTTTGGGCTGTGCAGAGTGCACTTGCCATGTGCACGTGGGGGGGGGGTTTGGTCTCCCTGGGACCCCCTGATCTCCTGCTCCTGCAAGGGGGGGTGTGGGGCCAAGAGGGACTGGGGTGCAGTGATGGGCTGGGAAATGGGGTGTGGGGGCTGTTTGCAGCATTGCAAAGGAATTCCTTCACAGCTGTAGAGTAGAGCCAAGGCAGCAGCTGAAATGCAGCTGGAGGTGGGGGTGGGTTGGATTTGAGCCCCTCAGACTTGTTAGGGAAGCAGTGAGTTTCCTGGTGACTGCAATTTTCCTTATCCCGCGTGGAGTTACCTCCAGATGATGTGCACAGGGTCTCCTTCCTCCATGCCTGGTTTGGATGCTCAGGGCCACGCTCTCCCTCCCTCCCCAGCACAGCAAGCCCCGGGACTGGGCTGCACAGAGCAAAACGCAACATTGCAGCTTTTCCACCCCAAAAACGAGCTGACAATAAATCCGGGCAGGATGGTTTGTTAGCTGGAGCCAGGGGATGATCCTGAGCAGGGGAAGCTCTCACACGTCAAACCCTGGCAGCGCCGCGGCTCTAAATATCATCTCAAATCCCCAACATACCGAGTATAACTTGCACTTGTCAGCTCATGTTTGCGGATTATGAGGAGAAGCTGTCAGAAGTTTTCAGGCTCAGAGGCTGAGCAGCACGTGGGGAGCTCAGGGGGCCACCCCATCTCCCCCTGTCCGGGATGCTGAGATGCTCGGAAAGACAGGGAATTGGGCTGAGTCAGTGTTTGGGGAAGGGAGTTCAGAAAATTTCATGTGATCGCTGTCTGATTTACCAAAGCATCCCCATATATCAGTAGCAGCCAAAATACCTTCAAAATCCTGCCTCCCCCGACGCCAGCGGTGCAGCCTCCGGCAGCAGGAAATGCTCTGGGTTTATAGAACTGTAATTGGAGGAGAAAAACCTTAATTAGGGAATATTTACTCTCTGTGTGTGGAAGGGGAGCTGCTGATTAATGCAAAATAGCAGAAAAGCAGAACTATTGTAATACATGTGCAAAAAAGAAATAAGAGCAAGAAGTCATCTAAGGAGCTGCGGTGAGGTCATACAGGCTTCTGTGGAGGAGAAAAAGTTAATTTGGCTTGAAAATCGTGATTATTTAAATAATGATTTAAATATTTAAATAATATAATGTTGGGGTTTTTTACTGGGCTTTTATTTGCCACAGTTGGAGCCCCTGGGGTTGGTTTTCCAGGACTTCTCCGCAGGTGTGGTGCCTAGGGAGAGGGAATGTCAGTTGGCACTTGGAAAGGCACATTGCGCGAAGCCTTTTTCAGTCGATGCTTCTTCCCTCCTCTGCAATATTTGGGAGGCTTTTGAGTCGTTTGGAAAAGCTGGCTGGGCTGGATCTGGGCTGGAGGTGCTGGGCAGCAGAGCAGGTTTGGCACGGTGACCGAGACGGATAAAGAGAAAACGGGATCAGCAGCTGGAGGGGGAAAAAAAGTCCTTTTTCCTTTCCATGAAAAATTGTCCGTAGAGAAACGTAGCCAAAAGGGGAGGAAAACCGGCGCCTGGTGACTGGTTCTGCCAGGAGGAATGCATCTGCTGATGGACACACTGAGGAAGTGGGGGCTCTATGTTAAGGAACTGTGGGATAAGCCAGAGCCAGGAGCGCAGGGAAACTTGGCCGTGCTGTCCTGTAGTTCAGGGATCTGTGACAGTCGTGTTCTGCGGGCAGAAAGCACCTCCCAAGAGCAGCTTCCTGCTCACAGCCTGCATTCCTGCCTCCCAACATCCCTACATCCCTACACAGCCCCGTGTCCGGCAGCGTCGGCCGCACCATCCCTGTGCCTGCAGCGTCCCGCGATCCACGTTGGGTCCTGTGGAATGTCATTAGCAGATAAATTATATGGAAAGCTGTCATCGGTGCTGGCTCGGAGCCTGGAAGTGCAGCACAGCTGGTTCAGATGGATCTTGGCTCGCCGGGCCGTGCTGTGGAGGGGGTTTGCCAGTGGGGTTTGCTTTTGGGGGCTGCAGCACCTTTTAAGAGCCTTTATTTTGCAGGGCCTCACAGGGTTTGGTTTGTGATGGTCTGGGTGGAGGGTCCCCCTTTGGAGGTGCATTCCCAGCCCTTTCCAACAGCATTTGGCACAGGGATAGAGCTGATCAGACCGTGCAGCATCTTCCCTGTGCCGTGCTACCAAGCCCTTGCTGCGGAGGGAGGGAGGGATCTGGCCCAGCACAGGATGCTCTGCAGGATTAACTCAACCAGTTTCTGTATCCCTGGCAGCATGTGCTTTATCCATCGTTATTCCACTTTTTCCTGGGCTAATTCCAGCCCTTGCGCTTTTTTTAAAAATCAATTAACATCTAATTAAAATTCCATAGTGTTATATCCTATGTCCCCCTCCGCCTTTGCCAGGACTGGGACTCTGAATCGTGCTTCCAGCATCAATGCAGTTATTATTATTTCCCCAGCCCTGGCTGGAAAGTTATGGATGTGGTCTGGATTTCTGATGTGGGAATCCCCAAAGGGAGAAGTTGCAGACAGCTTTATTACTGCTGGTCCTGCTGTGGGCAGGGACGGTGCCCGAGCGCCTGGGGGGCTCGAGGAGCCTCTTGGCCAGGTGACATCCAGGAGCATGTGGGCTAATGGCAGAAACCCCATTTCTAGGAAGGTTTATCCCATATGCTGGAACTGCCCTGCAGGATTATCATGCAGAGAGCAAACCTGGTTTCTGTTTCCTTTCTGAGTGCCAAAGTGGAAACCTCAGGCTACCTTTCCCTGCTGCTCGGGAAGGTGTGAACTGACTTTGTGTCTGCTCCACAAATAGGTGGTAGCCTGGTCTCCTCCCTCCCAAACCCGCATCTTGGAGCTGTGACCTTCCCAGGGGTGGTGTTTGGGCTGGGAAGAACCTCCTGGAGGAACTCACAGCACCCTCAGATTGCTGCAGTGATGAGGTGGGTAGCAGAGAAATGGGTGTCCCAGAAGGTGGATGTCCTGGAAGACGGCTGTTCCAGAGAATAGGTGTTCTGACAGATGGATGTTCCAGCCGTGGACCCAAACAGGGAAGCCTTTTCCATCATAAGGACATGGAACTCTGTACAGAAAACCTGTTGTTCACCTTTGAAGACCCACCTTAAACTTTCAGAAGTCATTGGTCACCTCGTTGGCTGTTGGGGTCAGGTTTGGAAAGCCCTTGGCCTCGTAGCAGGGTGTTTCCAGGTAAATTCCCCCAAGGTGAAACGCCTCTCCTAACTTTTTCCTGAAATTTGACTTTGGACTCTAATTTCCTGCCTGCTCCATGCCTCTGCACCCCCAGGAGTGAGTGCTGGCTCTGCCTGACACCACGTAGCATTGACATCTTCAACATCAGGATCTTCCTGACGTGACGGCTGCACCCGAGGAGCGAACGCGCCGATTTAAGTACAAAGCAAGGAACAGCTCTGAGATCCCTGCACAGGGCTGACCGATTTTATGGGTTAGTCATGGTGACAATATTGAATTTCACGGCTGGGAGGGAGAAACAGGAGAAATTAAGTAAATGTTAATGGGACAGGATGGGTTTACACGTTCCTGTTGCGCGGGGCATCGCTGAGGTTTGAGCGGTGCTCCCTGAGGGTGCCCTTTGCTGCGTTAGAAAATTCAGGGTATGATTCAGTAAGTGATAAAGGAAGCTCTGATTCTGTTCCTGGCATGAAAATTCACATTGTGTGGGGTGAGAGAAGGGCTTGGAAGTGGATGGGAGTCATGGGAAGCTGCTCTTTGGAGAGTCAGAGGCAGGCTGCATCTGCTGCCAGTGCCCTGATGTGTGTTTGGGCTCTGCTGCCTCATTCCGGGAATGTGAAGCTGGGCAGAGATGATGTTTCTTTGTTTTTCATGTAATATCAAGGTAATGAAGCTAATTATTATGTCCTCCAGAAGCTCATCTGGATGGTGTGGCCACCATCACCTGACGTGGCCAGGAGTTGGGCTTCAGTGATCCATGTGGGTCCCTTCCCACTCAGGATATTCTATCATTTATTTTCCCTTAATTTGATATTATTAATTTCAAAGGGGAGGGGTGGTATTTATAGCAGCCCCCATCCTGAGGGGAGGTGCCTGGTTTTAGGATGCAGGAGCTGATTCCCAGCTGGAAGTTGTTAGATGGTGAGGCCAGACTGGGGCCACGTAGTAGTAGCAACCATCAGTGGTGGCATCACTGGGTTGTTCCATCCATGCTCCTGCCTCAGACAAGGCTGTGCCGCTCCTGTGGAGCAGCTGGATTTTGACTCATCACGTGGAGCTGGAAATAAAAGGCACTGAGGGGGTGGATTTTTAATTGTTTTGGCAGCAGGAAGAGCCCAGCCCGGAGCTGGTCCCGTTACGTCTCTGTGTCCATCATCCTTCTCCCAGAGGACCAGTGCTCAGGGGATGGATCATGTGGCAGGAGGTGGAAGCTCAAATAACACAGGGTGACTTGTGCAGCTGGGGATGGGGGGCTGGAGTGAGAGCTGGGGGGTTCACCCAGCCCATCTCCCCCATCCCTTGCTGCCGAGGCTGGTGCTGAGCTGCCGAGTCCAGAGGGGGCTGGTGGGTCCCCCCCTCTCCTTCTGCCATGGGCCTTGGGTGGGAGGGGAAAATAAATAATGCAAATAAGAGAATTACTTTCCACTCATGGTCTGGGTTTAGGATTTCTTCCTTCTTGTCTTATGAACAGGTCGGAGGTTTGGCCAGAGCCCCCTGTGCCCATGAGCTGGGCGAGAGTTCATTTGGATATTCGTGGGGGGGGAGGGGGTTGGGATATAGAAAGCTCACCCTGGATCATCAGATTAAAGGAAAAAGCCATTTCACCTCCTTGGATGGCCCAGATAGCCAGTGAAAATCTGCTTTATTCCTCCTTTGCTGGCCCTGCCGTCGCGCCGTGGATTGCAAAGGCTCGTTTTCCCCGACCGAGTAATTAGCTGGGCTTGTTTGCTGAGGAGGAATTAAGCTGCTGCAGCAAGTGGGGTTTGGTCCAGGAGCTCCTGGCAGCCCTCATGGCTCACTTCTGCCTCACTTTTTATTTTTCTCCTGCCTTTTTCAATTAATTTCCCATTAATTTGGTTTGGAATGAAGTTCTCAAATGACTGATAAATCTTCTTTAAGCTCAGGAGCTAATCGGTTTTGGAGGAGGGAGAGTAATAGAGGGGAGGGAAAAAAGTGTGTTAATTTTAGCAAATCTCTCAAATATGAACTGAAACAAATGGCAAATTGTCCTGTTGGGTTAACAGAAAAAAATCTACTCTTACAATACCCAAACTTCATAATCTTCTTGCAGTACTGATGCATTGGCATAAATATTGGTAAATATTAGTAAGTTGATATATATGCAACCTTGGGAGATAGTTACCCTTCTCCTAATAGTACTTATGAGCACCTTTATTTTTTTTTATGGGTGAGTGATGAAGTGTTTTCTGTAAATCTTTAAAGGCCCTGAATGCTGCCACTAATTAAAGGAATTTGTATGCTACGGGGGACTCACTATTTAATTAAATTCATTGGGAGTCTTTTGTCACCTCCAGCATCAAAGAGTGGCAAATGTGACTTAAACTTTTATAAGAGCCTCTCATTATCCTTGAGGAAATTAAATATATGTGAATATGTGTCTGTGGGGTCTGGATCTCACCCCGGTATGGCTCAGTCAACTTATCATTATTTTTTCTTTTTCAGCAAGATTTTAGTTCCAGTGAAAGAACTGGGCAGAGGAAGGTTGTGGTTAAATACACACAGGCAGCAGGAAAGGGCTTTTTCAAAGACTTAGATGTGGCTGTGATTGTTTTTAGAGGGTTTCTGTAGTGATTTCTTGAGCTGGGAAAAAAAGTAAGGGAAGTCCTGGTGTCAGAAGGGGCTGAGTTATCCCAGGAGGAGCTGTGTTCATTGAAGTGAGTGAAGAAGACTCCCAAGAGCTCCCTGTTATTGGACAATATGAATTTTTGTGGCATTTCCTACCTGGTTTTCTGTTTTTCTGTGTTTTGTTTTACCTCTGATGCTTAATGGCAGAGTAGTTTGTCTGAAGAGTTTCATCTCTTGGTTTCTAACAGATAAAAATCCCTGTTGTCCCAGACATCTTCCTCTTCTTCCACTATTTGGTCTGATTTAATCATTTTCCCCACCTTTTTATCCTCTGATCTGCAAGCCCTCTCTCTTCCTCATGGTTCCATCCTGAGCACTTCCTTTATCCTCAGCACACACAGTAAAAAACCAGTTAAAAAGTAGAATAAAACCAGTGCACAGAAGGAAGTTCCTACCTGAGTGAAGCTCTCTTTGAGCTGGTGATTGTGACAAGCTGGGGTGGGATGCAGGGGGTGCACAGAGCTGGGTGAGTGGAGGGGCTGCTCTTATTTTGGGATCTATTCCAGCACATGTCAGGGCTGGGTGATCAGTGTTATCAGGTTATTCTGCCTGAGGGTGCCTAGGGGCTTGGTAATGATGCTCTCCCTGCTTGCACACAGGTGGAAATGACTTATTGAGGGTCCCCAAGCAGAGGAGGGTGGGAGCAGAACATCCCTGTGCTGGCACGAGGCAGAGGCACCAAACCAAGGGTGCCAAAGGTGCCTGAGGCAAATCAATCCCTGGTCGTGGTTTCTTTGTATTTCGTGTATATTGTCTTTATCCCACACGTGCCTCACCAGGGGAGACACCCTGGGCTGTAGTTTAATCCCCCAGTGAAGTGACTCATTGCAGGGTGTAGAAAACACAGCGTGGGCTGAAACGCCCACCACTCTGTACTCTAATGGAAAAAGATGGGATGTGTGTGCATGGAGACAGGTCCCACTCGTGATGCTGCATCATCTTCTAGTGTTTTTTGTAGTGCAGGCAGCTCCTGGAGCTTCGGGGCTGGTTTTTCTGGTGAGTTCAAGGGGGTTTAGGATGTTTTTTTTTTTATTATAGAGGGGCAACTTGCAAGACTCTCAGCTGATCACAGTGAGTGCAGGGAGTGTTGGAGGGGCAGATCGTGTTTCATACCATCCTGCTCCCTTAGGAACAGCACTTCCTCAGGGCTGAAAAACATGAATGTATAATAAAAAGCAATATTTGTATTCTGATTCCCAAACTGGGTATTATTTTGGTGGGGATGGGGCGTATCTGGAACAGGGAGCTACAGGGCATTTCTGCAGTGCTGCCAAGGACCTAGTTCAAGGTTGGGTAAAGCATTAATGTACAGAAATGACTGAAACTCCTTCTCCTACCTTGTATTTCTGTAATTCCCCGTGGATTACCAGCCTTCTGCCAGTGTCGGTGGTCAGCGAACACCCCTCACTGGTGACTGGAAGAGGGAAAACTGGAAGGTTTTGGGTTCCTCTCAGTGCTGTTGAAACACCCCATTGCATCCTGTGCTGCTCCTGCTCTTTCCCCTCATCCCAACACAGCATCATTGAGCTGGAAGGGGACGCTCGGGGAGCCGTGCCCTGGGCTCGTGGGAGCGCCACCAGAATCCGCCCCGCAGCTAAAAATAAACGGGCTGTGGTTTATTTATCCTGGAAAGGGAGCAGCAGGTTTTCCTGTGCCGGGCCCTGAGGCTGAGGCAGCAGTTTTGCTCCGGAATCTCCTTTTCCAGGGGACTGAGCTGCCCCTTGGAGGGGGGTCGATGATGAGGAGCCGTGGTGGCGACACGATGGGTGTTTGGGGGCTGCAGCGATTGGGGGCGAATTAGGCGTCTTCTGCCAGCCCAGACCCTGGGATCGTGCTTTTGGTACTTTTTCATAGAATCAGCTGGGTTGGAAGGGACCTCTGAGATCATCAAGTCCAACCCTTGATCCAACCCCGCTGTGGTTCCCAGCCCGTGGCACTGATGCCACATCCAGTCTCTTTTTAAAAATCTCCAGGGATGGAGAATCCACCACTTCCCTGGGCAGCCCATTCCAATGTCTGACCACCCTCTCTGCAAAGAAATTCTTTCTAATCTCCAACCTAAACCTCCCCTGGCACAACTTGAGACCCAGCCCTCTTGTCTTGCTGATGGTTGCTTGGGAAAAGAGACTAACCCCCAGCTGGCTCCCCCCTCCTGTCAGGGAATTGTAGAGAGTGAGGAGATCTCCCCTGAGCCTCCTCTTCTCCAGGCTGAACAGCCCCAGCTCCCTCAGCCTCTCCTCACAGCACTTGTGCTTGAATCCCTTCCCCAGCCTCGTTGCTCTTCCCTGGACCTGCTCCAGCCCCTCAATATCCTTCCTTGCCTTAAAAAATAAAAGATGTGGAAGCAAGGGGCTGCTGTGCCCTCTGTGCTCAATCCATCCTCTCTCCCACAGCCATGAAAGCCGACCGCAAGCGCTTGAAGGGGGAGAAGACAGACCTGGTGAGCCAGATGCAGCAGCTGTACGCCACGCTGGAGAGCCGGGAGGAGCAGCTCCGGGACTTCATCCGCAACTACGAGCAGCACAGGAAAGTGAGTGTGGGAGCCCAGCACCATGGTCTCGTGGCACAGGGGGCTGGCAGCGAGTCGAGTGTGAAACCTGGTTTGTAGTCAGGCCAAAACCCTCTAAAATCCCAGCTGGATTCTTGCTGGGGCTGGGGTGGACCACGGCAGGTTAAGCCTGAGATTAGCTCAGTTAGTTAGAGCACAGTGCTAATAACACCAAGGGTTTGATCTCAGTATGACCTTAAGAGTTGGACTCAGTGATCCTTGTGGGTCCCTTCCAACTCAGAATATTCTCTGATTCTGTGAAATACTAGAGGGAATGGAGCCAGACATGCAAAATCCCATGTAATTTTAACAAGGTGCTCAGTGAGCATTGCTTTTTGGAGGACTGGCTGCATCCTGGAGCTCCCCAAAAAGGGAAGCCATCCCTGCCAGCACGGGGCTCTCGTGACCCCAAAGGTTGGGTGGTGCCTGAGAGGGTCATTGCAGAGGGGCTTGTGTTAGCACATGGATTTTCCCTTCCTGATGGCCGCCCCGTGTCCTGGCAGGAGAGCGAGGACGCAGTGAAAGCCCTGGCGAAGGAGAAGGACCTCCTGGAGCGGGAGAAGTGGGAGCTGCGGCGACAAGCCAAGGAGGCGACGGACCACGCCAGCGCCCTCCGCTCCCAGCTCGACCTGAAAGACAACCGCATGAAGGAGCTGGAGGCCGAGCTGGCCATGGTGAGCTGGGGGACTGATACAAACCTGAGGGGTTGCTGCAGTGGCTGCATTATTGCAGTACTGAGGAGGAAAATATTCCATCGCTAGAAAGGAGCTTGGCCTCACCTTGAGTCCCTCACCTTGAGTCCCTCACTTTGAGTCCCTCACCTTGAGTCCCTCCCCTTGAGTTCTGTGTGCAGCTTTGGGCACCACAGTATGGAAAAGACATCACTAGATAGCATCTAAAGGAGAGCCAGGAGGATGGGAAAGGGTTTGGAGGGGAAGCCTTATGAGGAACCGCTGAGGGCAGTTGGTTTGTTCAGCCTGGAGAGGGGGAGACTGAGGGGAGACATCATTGTGGTCTTCAGCATCCTCCTGAGGGGCAGTGCAGGTGCAGGTACCCATCTCTTCACTTTTGTGACCAGTGACAGGACTCGAAACGGCTGGAGTTGAGTTGGGAGAGGTTTAGGTTGGATATCAGGGAAATGTTTTTCACCCAGTGGGTGGCTGAGCACTGGAACAGGCTCCCCAGGGAAGTGCTCACAGCACCAGGACTGTCTGAGTTCAAGAAGCGTTTGGACAATGCTCTCAGGCACGTGGTGGGATTGTTGGGGTGTCCTGCACAGGGCCAGGAGTTGGACTCAATGATCCTGATGGATCCCTTCCAACTCAGCATATTCTGTGATTCCGTGATCCCTAGCACAGGTTGCAGCACACTTTGGGTATTTACTTGCCCAGGGGTGTGTGAGTTGGGTGCAACGTGTTGCTGCTTGTTCTGCTGCTCCAGGAGATGTTCATATGGTTTTCCTGCTCCATCACCATCACCTTGGTGTCCTCCCCCAGGCCAAGCAATCCCTGGCCACGCTGACCAAGGACGTCCCCAAGCGCCATTCCTTGGCCATGCCGGGCGAGACGGTGCTGAACGGGAACCAGGAGTGGGTGATGCAGGCTGACCTCCCGCTGACCGCCGCCATCCGGCAGAGCCAGCAGACCCTCTACCACTCACACCCCCAGCACTCAGCGGACCGGCAAGGTGGGCAGGTCCTTATTGCCAAACCCCCCCTTACGGGGAGGAAAAAATGGGTAAACCCCTCCCTAAATAGTTTTTTTTAGACGTGAGTTAGAGGCTGTGCCGGGTTCGCTGGCGTGATTTTAACTCCCCGTGTCCCTCCCTGCCTTCCAGCGGTCAGAGTGAGCCCCTGCCATTCCCGGCAGCCGTCCATCATCTCCGACGCCTCTGCGGCCGAGGGCGACCGGTCGTCCACGCCGAGCGACATCAACTCCCCCCGGCATCGAACGCACTCGCTCTGCAACGTAAGGCACCGTGGGCTGGGGGGCTTGCTGCCCCAGGAAGGGGCTCCGGGGATTCTGCGGGTCCTCTGCTTCCCAAAAACAACGTTGGGTTTGGGGTGTGGGGCAACCTGGAGCTTTGCTGACCCAGAAAGCTGCTTTCCTGACCCAGAAAGCTGCTTCCCTGGGGTTTTATCCAAGCCCCACCACAGTTCAGCTGCCCAGATGAGCTACTTTTTGCCATGGAAGTGGGAGGTCTCAGGCTATGTTGGGGCTGATCCAATGGATCCATCTCTTTCTACCACAGGGGGACAGTCCTGGACCGGTACAGAAGAACTTGCACAACCCAATCGTACAGGTAGGGCACAAATCCTCTCAAATCCTGCTCGTGAGAACCCCTCCTGTGCTAGAAAATACTTTGGAGGGGCTCAGAGGCACCACTTTGGGGTCTTTCAAAAAATGAATTGAAGTCATCTTGAATTGTGAGTCTTTGATGTCTCAGATTCCTATAATTTGCCCCAAAATCCATGTAATGCCTTAGGCATTTGCTGTGCTCAGGGCCCTTTGGGGTCTTGATTTTTGTAAGGCACAGGCAAAGCAGGTTATTCTTCTGGTTTTGACCCTAAACCCTTGGGATATTTTTGTCAAGCTGTGGACAGACCCTTGTTCTGATCTATTCCTGGAGCCAAAATCCTGAACCAGTTGAGTTAAGCCAGAATCCCAGAAATTGGGGTAGGGGGGAGCTGTTCCAATTCTGCTGCAAACTCCACCACCCAAATTTCAGGAATATTATTTTATTTCGGTCCAGCACCTTAACATTGCTCTGGACCTGGATGCAAATATTTTTTTGGGATCTGGATGCAGATACTTTTCAAGACCTGGACTCAAACATTATTTGTGTCTGGGACCGTGTGGTCCATCATCCCCGATGTGAGCGGGTGGGGAGCGGGTGAAGGAAGAGCTGGATACCCAAACCCGTGTCCCTCTCCTCCCACAGTCTCTAGAGGACCTGGAAGACCAAAAACGGAAAAAGAAGAAAGAGAAGATGGGCTTTGGCTCCATCTCCAGGGTGTTTGCCCGGGGGAAGCAGCGCAAGTCCCTCGACCCGGGGCTCTTCGACGGGACGGCCCCCGACTACTACATCGAGGAGGACGCGGACTGGTGACCCCCCCGTGCCAGGCGGGTGCCACTGTACATATCCCCCACCTGTGGACGTGTTACCTGTTGTCTTGGGAGCGATGCAGCTGTGTCGTAACTTCAGTTTTTCCCCCCCCCCTTTTTTTTTTTTTCCGTGTTTTCTCATTTTTTTTCCCATCCCGGTGACTCCTTTTGTTGTCGCTTCAGTTTGTCAGTTTTGTTTTGGGTTTGGTGGGGTTTTTTTTTTGTCTTTTTTTTTTTTTTGTTGTCGTCGTTGTTCTTTTCTCTTTCTTCTTTTGACAAAACTTGAAACTTGAAGGACTGCTGTGTCTCTGTAAATACCAGAAATATTGTGCACTTTGTGCTTGTGACGTCTCTTGTCCGAAACCCGCTGTTTTCCGGAGCCCAGCCCGCGGGATGTCCTCGCCTGGGGACCAAGGACCTGCCCAGCTGAGGGACCTTAGAGGGAAAACACACAAAACCAACAACAACAACAACAACAAAAGATCTCCTTCGCTGTGATGTCTTCCTGGCCGAGCACCCGGGCTGGTTGTAACGCCTGCCGGTCTGGAAATAAGTGTTTTAACGTTCCTTTTTAGTTGTTTTAATTTATTTGCACAAACCCAGAGGAGCTATTCTAACTAAATTATTGCAGAAGTTTTGGGATTTTTATATTTTTCCACGTCGGTTGGGATGGGGTGGGAGGAGGAAGGGGG